ATGTATTTTTAGTCTCTCAGTAACCACCACTTATGTAGAAAAAGGAAATCTTTAGGTTATAAATAGAACTCAACAAAAGTCTATTTTAGTTATCTAATTTTCGATGCACATTAGGGTGTTGACCACTTTTAGCAGTGGTAATCTGTTTCATTTGTTCCACTACACCCTGAATGTCATAGCTACATTTTAAAAGTTCCTGTGTCACGTTAAACTTTTTCACTCTTTTCTTCTGTGTTTTCATGTCTGTTTGAATTGAACTGTCACAGGTTTCCATTAACTTTGGACCATGCTTCAAGTATCCTCCAAAGGATCTCACTTACCGCCCAGTGAGTAACAGTCACGACGCAAGCTCAGTATCTCTGTTACTTCTCGTTGTCACTGTTCTCATCACCTCATTTCTGTTTCTTGTTCTTCCCACAGATGAGTGACATGGGCTGGGGCGCTGTGGTAGAACATACTCTGGCTGATGTCTTATATCATGTGGAAACAGAGGTGGATGGGAGGCGCAGTCCGCCATGGGAACCCTGACCAGGTCCCTCTTTCTTTGCAGCTGTGGACTTTCTGGGGAATAAATTGGGGAGGGGGGATCTGTTTTTTTGTTTTTTTTTAACTATTGCAAACATTCTCCCAAAGATACCGCAGCACAGAGCCTCTCCTGTTAGCAAGTGAAAAGTAGGGGTGAGACTGGCAGAGACTGCCTGCCCTGCAACACTTTGCCCACTTCTGGTGACTGCTTCTATTTTGTGTGCCATATGCCAGCAGCTGCTGACCCTTGGATCCCATGCGCTCCCTGTGAAACTGGTGCTGTACAATGTATCCCACCAACTGGGACTTGATACCTTGCTGTATTTTCTACCGAATGAATAATCTTGTCCAAGTACCTAACTTATTTAAAGACATTTCTTTTTTTTTTTTTTTTTTTTGTAATGTTGAGTTCATCCTATCTGATTTCCAAGGAAGTAATTGGCTTGAATCTGAGAACACCTGAAATCTGTGGCTCTACATTCCAGATCTAGAAGGTCTTTCCTTTTGATGTGGGTTTTTATTCATTTTGAAATATTTTTGAACACTGGGGTCTCTGGAACTACTAGGTCTGTAGAACTGTAATTGTGGAAAAAAAAAACTTGCTTGCAGCTTTAACAATTAGAAATTCTTCCCAAATAAAACTGGTCTTCAAGTGTGTGTGGCACTTTGCTTCCCTTTCACATTGGATTCCTCTTGGGACTGGGGTAGCAAGGTAGGCAGTCTGAGGAATGGTAGTCAGAACTGGGAAGACAGGCACATTTCTGACTCGATCCCAAGCCCTCTTCTGCTTCCAGTCTTTCCAGCCAACCCAACTATGGTCTTTATCCTGTGAAATCGGAATCTCAAAGAGGTGAACAAGAGTTTAAAAGGGTTAATGGGGGGCACCTCGGTGGCTCAGTGGGTTAAGCCTCTGCCTTCTGCTCAGGTCATGATCTCAGGGTCCTGGGATCGAGTCCCGCATCGGGTTCTCTGCCCAGCAGGGAGCCTGCTTCCTCCTCTCTCTCTGCCTACTTGTGATCTCTGTCTGTCAAATCAATAAATCTTTAAAAAAATTTTTGGTCCATATATACAATGGAATATTACTCAGCCATCAGAAAGGATGAATCCCCAACTTTTCCATTAACATGGTTGGGGCTGGAGGAGATTATGCTAAGAGAATGTCAATTATCATATGGTTTCACTTATTTGTGGAACATGAGGAATAGCAAGGAGGATATTAGAAGAAGGAAGGGGAAAATGAAGGGGGGGATATCGGGGTGGGAGGAAAACCATGAGAGACTATGGACTCCAAGAAATAGGATTTTCAAGGGGAGGGGGTGGGGGATGGGTTAGCCCGGTGATGGGTATTAAGGTGGGCATGGATTGCATGGAGCACTGGGTGTTATGCACAAACAACGAATCATGGAACACTACATCAAAAATTAATATATGGTACTGTATGGTGACATAACTATTAGAAACCAAAAAAAACACGGTAGCTTTGACTAATTGTCTCCTAACGAATCATCCAGGCTGTTTTGGCCATTTTGCGTTTTTTTCACAGACCTAACAGAGTCAGTATGATCGTAGGCTAAAGACTCAGTCTGTCACCGCTGGACACCTACCTATTCATTCCTGGCTGGTCTTAAAGGGCAGACTTGGTTATAAAGCTGGATGATCAGAGTTTGAAGAACTCAGAGAATGAGGGTAGTGTTCTTTTTTTTTTTTCCTTAATCACTTTTTATTAACATAAAATGTATTAGTTGCCCCTGGGGTACAGGTCTGTGAATCATCAGGCTTACATATTTCACAGCACTCACCATAGCACATACCCTCCCCAATGTCCATCACCCAGCCACCCTATTCCTACCCCACCCCCACCTCCCAGCAACCCTCAGTTTGTTTTGTGAGATTGAGAGTCTCTTACGGTCTGTCTCCCTCTCGATCCCATCTTGTTTCGTTTTTCCCTCCCTACCCTCCACAGCCCCCAACCCTGCCTCTCAAAATCCTCATATCAGAGATCCTATGAAATATGTCTTTCTCTAATTGACTTATTTCGCTCAGCATAATACCCTCTAGTTCCATCCATATCGTTGCAAATGGCAAGATTTCATTTCTTTTTATGGCTGCATAATATTCCATTGTATATATATACCACCTCTTCTTTATCCATTCATCTGTTGATGGACATCTAGGTTCTTTCCATGGTTTGGCTATTGTGGACATTGCTGCTATGAACATTCAGGTGCATGTGCCCCTTCAGAGCACTACATTTGTATCTTTAGAGTAATTACCCAGTAGTGTGATTCCTGGGTTGTATTGTAGCTCTAGTTTTCAGCTGAGGGTAGTGTTCATTAGAGGAAGCTGGAGGTAAATTCTTTGTAATATAAATTACCACATGTTACTTGTACACCCACTCTCCATTTAAATGATAAAATTTTTGTACATCGGATTTTCATAAATCAGAGGTTGCAGAAGTAATGATTTTGCCCATTTGTATTTAAAAGTACGTATGTTTCAAGGTTCGTTTGGAGAGCTCATAGAATCCCCACTCTTCATGGAGACCTCTAAGCAGATCATCACTGACAACTTAATTTTATTCCAATGTAAAATTAAACAAGTTGGAAAACATCTCCCAGTCCCCTCAAAGACACAGTTGCTTGGTTTGAAGAAGGCAAATCATAATCAAGCTCAAAACTTCACTGGTTTGTGGTAAAATGCCATTGTTTTGCTTTCAGTCTGTTCTTTTCTGAAACCAGAGTGTATATTGCTTCAGACATCTTTAAACATCTTTAAACAATCATTTTCTCTTAGCTGGGAGTGGATGATAATTCTGTTCTAGAAATACTTCTACAACTATGCCCTCTCATTCTGAAGCTCCCAGATAGATAAACAATAATTGTGTGTGTGAGTTTTATTTTTATTTATTTGACAAAGAGAGAGAGAGCAGGAACACAAGCAGAGGGAGAAGCAGGCTTCCCGTGGAGCAGGGAGCCCAATGTGGGACTTGATCCCAGGACCCTGGGAACACGACCTGAGCCAAAGGCAGACGCTTAACCGACTGAGCCACCCAGGCACCCCAACAATAATGTCATCTATGCTAAAAATAGATCACTCTAGGAAACAATCAGAATAAATAACAAAAAATGCTTTTCTGAGCTGTAAAATTTTAATAGCTCAATAAATATCAGCACTCCCACTCCTGCTAAACTCTTTAATAAATAAGCTAGGGCTCTATTTCCAAATGCTTTAAATCATCAATGCTATTAGAACCAGAATGGAAAAGCTTCAAGTGGTAAGGGTTGGTTTTGCACCTTCCCTACACACATTAGCAAAATAATCCCATCCCAGTTTATATTTTTAAAGCATAAGTTCTCTGAATCTTGGAAGGGGAATTGGCTATCACCATAGCACCTCTTTTCAGCCATCTCCTCCGGAAATTGTAAAACACTGACCTGTTAATGGCAGAAAGTGGCAGCCCTGAACCAGGCTGGAAGCTGATATAATTAGCTCTGAACTAAAGATTCAGTTCCCTTTTTAGATCTCAACATTCTCTTCAGGGAAAATAATAAGATTTGTTTCTAGTCAACTTCGTCATTCATTCTCTCATATTTGGTCCTGCCCTGTCGTTTTTTTTTTTTTTTAAGATTTTATTTATTTATGACAGAGAGATGGAGAGCACAGGTAGGCAGAGCAGCAGGCAGAGGAAGAAGCAGGCTCCCTGCTGAGCAGGGAGCCCGATGTGGGACTCCATCCCAGGACCCTGGGATCATGACCTGAGCTGAAGACAGACACTTAACTGACTGAGCCACCCAGGTGTCCCTCTGTCCTCCCTTCTTCCTATGCCCCTCTCCCTGACCTGTGCTCTCTCTGTCTCTCTTTCAAATAAATAAATAACATCTTAAAAAAAAAAAAAAAACCTTTGTCCAGGACTCCTTTATCAAAAAGTTGCAGTTTACTAGAATGATTTTTTTAAAGAGAATTTTTAAACAAATAGGTACAGACTGAAGTTTTTGTGTCAGTTATGATTGTTTATTCTGACTGGTGCTCATGGAAGAAGTAGGAGAATGGGATTAATTAGTTTTCTGCATTTTTTCAATCAAGAAAACTTAGACTACATTTCTCAAAGGCACCTGCTGTGGGGAGTTGCTCTTCTTTGGTGCTGCTTGCTACTTATTTGGTAGAGGAGCAGAGGGTTGCTGGAGTCCCTTTTGTCAAACCCTGCTGCATCCACACACGTGGCCTATGAGGAATGGAGCTCATGAGCCCATAAAACATAAGGCCCCAGTCCTTGTGTTTAGCACCCTCACACCCTGTATCAGTACCATTTTAAAGATGTTTTTAAATAGAAGTGTAAGGGCCCAGAAAGAAGTCTTACAAATATTTGGGGTCCCTTAACCTTCATTTCGCAGCTAATCACCGAATGAAGTTAGAAAGCTCTTTCTCTTAAAAGCCTTGTCCCCATTTTCTTGGTTGTAAAATTTGACCAGAGTCCCAGTATCCTACTGTAAATACACTCCCACCCCATCCCACAGTCCCAGATGAAGATCTTAGACAGACTTGTAGGCTTCTAGCAGAGATCTTCCCGATGAGCATGCAAGCCAGTGCAGCTAGGGACAGTTGGAAGAAGCAGGCTGGTCCTTAACACCTGGCTTCAGGAGCAGGGCTGGACTCTAGGTGCTTGCGCAGGTGGTTGGCAAAATCCACCTGGGTCTGTGATAAGACCTGGTTGATAATGGTCTTTGGCAGCCAGCCCTAGAGAAGAAGAAGAATTGGGCCATCTCATGGGTAATGTTCCACTGTAGAAACCTCTGTATCCTATCACAAACATGAGTTGCTTAGGGCTTGGTCTTCCAGCTCTGTTTATGGGTGTGACCTTGGGGTCCACCAGGAAGACTGCATTACTGCTCTGCTGTCCCGACTGTGTAAGAAGCACAGAACTGCTCTCATCCCAGCTGTGTGACCCTGAGCTAGTGACCGTATCTTGTGGGGCCTAAGTTTCTTCTTTCCAAATTGGTAACTGCAGAGTTGAAATGTGACACAAGAGGTAAAAGGGAGGAGCTATTACAGGCTTTTGAGATGATGGAATAACAGGCCATTACTCAAGCCTCTTCCCTCCAACAGCCTATCTAAAAAATGGAAGAGGGTTTTTCCCGTTCCTTTTGGGATGATGTGGGAGGGTGAGAGCCAGTTTTCCTCCCCACCACCTGCATACTGAGCCGTCTTGTGCCCCTCACCTTGAGGTCAATGCTGAGCAGCCAGGTGAGTTTGGTCTTGGAGGGGCTTTCAGCCAGGGGGTGGAGCACCATGCACGTGGGACCATGCTCACCTCTGGCAAATGAAGAGAAGTCAAGTCAGGAGGACCGTGCAGAATTCTTTATGCTGACCAGTTATACTAGCCACACTTCCCTATTACCTTGCCTTTTCCCAATCTCAGAAATATTTTTTGCCAAGGGTGATATGTAATGGTTGGCATGGTTGCCAGATCATCAGAACACATGCTGGGTGGACCTGGAGCCTGGCAGCCTCCCGTGGTGCCTTTAAGTTGCTGATGCCAGAGAAAGTGTCCAGGGCAGTGGCTGGGGCCCCTGAAAAATGGGGGTAGCAGCTGTGTTCTGAGTAGTATGGATTACATTTTGATCACCAGTAGGGTTGTACCTGAACACACCAGCTAAACCTCAACCCTATGTGTTCTAGAAAATTATTAAGGTGCTTAAATTTCCTGGGAAATTCAGAACAAAGTGGCTATGTGGGGCCAAACTTGTCTTCCTCCCCTGCTATGGAAAAATAATATTTCCATGTAACAGGAAGCTGAAGGTAGGGATCAAGGCCTGGTTTCGTGGAGCTGAGGATTCATCACACACTTGGCGGTGCATCCCACAAGCCTATGTTCCGAGAGGGATTGCCAGTATTACCTGATGACACCTTTCTGCTCGGGCATCTCCCCAAAATGTGTGGCCATGCCAGCCAACACACAGGTGGACCCGCGGCGCTTGGCACAACGCACGCTCACGAAATCTCGGGGCCCCACCAGGTTTCCTGCTGCTTCTGCAGCCAACTCGTGGGTGATGACTGTGTCTTTTCCAATCTTCTGCAGGACCTAGCAGGCCACAGGGAGCCAGAGTTACCACTCAGCCAGTGCTGGGGCAAAGGCACCACTCACAGCTTGCCTTCTTTGCATACCTTTCTGACTGAGCTCCCAGAGTTCCTGCCCCACCTCCCCAAATCTGGACTCTCCTCACCTTGATCTCCCTGACATTCGGGTTCCATTCTCCCATTGCCTCCATGCGTTCCACGAGCTCTTCATAGAGCCTCTCCATGGGCTGGTCCACCACCACCTCCAGCCGGAACACCTTGCCCACATCTGGGACCACTTTACTCAGCACTTTGTCCCCATTCGGCTGTCAGGGACAAAAGAGGAAGTTCAGGATAAAGGTCAGAGAAAAATATCTCTCACTTAGGGCCCACAGATGGGCAAGGCAGGCAAGAAGTCTGAGCTAAGCATGAAGAAGCCTAACAGCACTTCTGATTAAGACTTAATCTTTCTTGCTGCGAGCCTTGAACATCTGCTGAAGCCTTGAGAGGTAACCTGCCTGCTTCTGGACCTTCTTTTCTTGGTGGTAAGTTTTGATGGGCGTGGGTAGGTCCAACTGAAAAGGCTCTGCTTGACTCAGAAGCACAAAGCTGCTGAGCGAGACAAACCTGGGAGTGGGAGAGTCTGCTCTACAACCAGCTAATCACACACACCCAATGTCGGGTGGGAGCTTAAAAGAGGTTTTCAGGGGCACCTGGGTGGCTCAGTGGGTTAAAGCCTCTGCCTTTGTCTCAGGTCATGATCCCAGGATTCTGGGGTCGAGCCCCACATCGGGCTCTCTGCTTGGCAAGGAGCTTGCCTCCCCCTCTCTCTTTCTCTGCCTGCTTGTGATCTGTCAAATAAATAAAAATTAAAAAAAAAAAAAAAGAGGTTTTCAGTCCAATAGCTCATTTTACAACGGAAGGCTGTAGGCCCAGAGACCCTTAGCCTCAGGCCATTGCGGGGCCTGCATCTCAGATTTCCTGACTCCCAAACCAGGAGTCTGCTAACTCAGAACTTGAAGGAATGGGTTTACCTGAACTTAGGGCAACAGGCAGCATAGAAGCTCTGGAGGAAGGCAGTAGAGCCCTTGGCCTTGAACACATGCCTATTACCGGTTCCCTGTCAGGATGTAGTATTAAGGAGCCCGGAAACCCAGAAGGCCTCGGACCATCTGTATTCTCGTGCAGCTCCTTTGTGGCTGAACCCAGAGCAGCCCTGCAGGTTGATCAGCCGCTACACCATGTCCCGGCCCCAGCACTTCTGACCCGGGCTGGCGCAGGCCTCTAACGCACGCAGAACTCCCACTGCATGGTCTCTGCCAGATGGGGTGTACAATGTGTTTGGAGGGTAACGAAGGATCCCGGAACAGTGTTTCCCAAACTCGAGTCTCCAGGTTGTCTCTGATGGGCCAAGGGAGTATCTGAGGATGTATTCTTGGGAAAGGAGAACTTTCAGATTAAAACCACCCGCTGCATGAGAAAGGAGTCCTGAGGCCTTCAGGATGGCAGCGGAACAGTGAGGAACGTGGGTTCCTCCAGGCCCACACTTACCTGCTGATTCTCCTTCTTCCAGCCCTCCTGGTTGCTGAGGATGCCCAGGGCCTTCTGCATGGCCTCCTCGCCCTGCCGGATATAGGCCAGCTCCTGGTCGCTGTAGAGGGTGTCTTCCAGCCGTGAACCTGTACACAGCCAAGGAGAGACCTAGCTTGCTCCCGCTTCCCTGGCCTCCCCCACCCACCGCTTCCATCCCTTCCATCTGGATCTGCTTATTCCTCTGAAGAGCCAAGGCCAAAGCCAGAGGGTCCAGCCTGCCAGCGAAGTTAGACACAAAGCTGCAGCCAACAGGGGGTCTGGCCTTGAGGAACTCCAGGAACTCTCAAAGTGAGTGAGAAAGGCCAGCTTAGGGTTAGGGGGAAGGGGGTGCTGGAGGGAATTTGCCACTGGCTGGCACAAGCCTGAAGCCTCAGCACTTACCAAGCAGAGAGCTCCGGCGCCGAACCTGGCTGATCCACGCACCCGGGGTCGGGCCGCCCAGTGCCCTCCGGTTCAGCTCCTGGCCAAGGGCCAGCACAGCATGCTGCCTCAGCCCTGCAGAGAAGGGAGGAAACTGTTGCTTAGGATCTAGAAACGCCCTTAGAGAGGGACCACTGGGTCCCTTGCCACAGATGAGGAAACACTGGGAGAGGGAGGTGACTTGCTCAGGAACACAGATCCCTAGTGGGGACCTAAATTAGCGCCAGGTCATCTCCCTGTCCAGGCTGGCAGGGAGGCAGCCAGGCTGCGTCTTGGGGCCAGAGTCAATCTTCCCTCTGGGCTGGGCTGGCCAGGCCTCATCCTGCCTGGACGCGGGGTTTTACCGGAGCCGGCTGAAGTTTCCTTTTCTTCTCGAAAGAGAGAGAAGCTTTGTCTAACTAGAAAAAATCTGCTGCAGGAGGAGAATCTAAGACCCCCCATGCCCTGTAGTCTGTGTCGCTGTCAGCAGCTGGGCTCCTTTGCAGGAGTAACTGCTCAATCTGCCCCTGGGGTTGAGCACGGTGAGCTTGCTGGTCTAGGGCTGGCGCAGGGCTTCCAAGCACAGCTTCCATGGAAACAGAAGCCGGTTCCACCCGGTGTAATTGGGAAGCACTTGAGGTTGGTTTGTGCGCCCTTCAACAACTGCAGGGGACTGACTCAGATGACCCTAGGTCTCGATTAGCTCTATAAAATCACACTTGGGTAACCAGTTCTGTCTCCTCGTTGTACAATCTAATCAGACTTCCAGCTTTCCACTTTCTCTCTTCACTTTGCTCTTCTCTGCACCCCCCACCCCCCTGCCCATGTCTCGGGCTTCCCAGCACTGCTTGCTGGACTCAAGGCTCACTCCCACCCCTGCACTGTGGCTCAGTCCTTCACGGTACCCTTGGTGCCGATCCAGGCAAAGTCAGGAAGAGCTCAGGAAAGATTGGAGCCCTGGAGAAGTGACAGAAGGGCAAAAGTGACAGAATCCGGGAGGGACACAGATGTCTTAGAATCCAGCCCAACTGTTCCTGGGAAACAGGGTGGTCCAGAAGGAAAGAGACCTGTGTAGGTTCCCCCCAACAGGAGGCACAAGTGGGATCAGCCCCTGAGCAGCCGGCTCCCTTCCCCACTCCCAGTCGCACACAACCACACTGCCTGAGTGCTCTGGGTCAGCACGGGGCCACCCCAGAGGCCGGGGAGCTCACCCTTCATGTTGTGCAAGTGTCTGTAGGAGCTCCCAGCACATAGCTTGAATGTCGCCAGAAGCATGGTGTCCAGTCAGTGGGGAGAGGCAGGGGCGCGGTCCTGTGGCCACTGCTGCTGTTGCCTGGGCTTCTTCTGGCTCTACCCTCCTTCCCCTCCGAGCCTGTCAAGGTCTGCCTCTAGATCCTACAGCTGTGGCTGGGGACCAGCCAAGGGTTCTGCGTCTTAAATGCCCCCCAGCTGAAGGCTGTACTTCATCATCCGGAGATAAAAAAAGCCACTGCTCGCTGTGCGAAGGAAGGGGTCAAGGGTAGAAGGATTGCCTTACACTGTGGTTTTGGCCACTTGCAGGGAGCCTGAAGGAGGGTGCAGAGACAGGAGCCCAGGAGGTGGGTGCCAAAGGAGCAGTGGATAGAGCAAGGAGAGAAAGCAGCCGCTGAGGTCAAGGCCCTTTGGAAGAAAGCATACACCATCCGACTGGTTTTCAAAGAGCATGTGGGTGTACTGTTTAAAATGCAGGTTTCTGGGGGTGCCTGGGGGGCTCAGTCAGTTAAGCATCTGCCCATGGCTCAGGTCAGGATTCTGGGGTCCTGTGCTCAGTGTGGAGTCTGCTTCTCCCTCTCCCTCTCCCGCTCTTACTCATGCTTTCTCGATCTCTGTCAAATAAATAAACAAAATATTTTTTTTAAAGATCTATTTATTTATAACAAAGAGCACAAATGGGGAGCAGCAGGCAGAGGGAGAGGGAGAAGCGGGCTCCCTGCTGAGCAGGGACCTTGATGTGGGGCTTGATCCCAGGACCCTGAGAGCCAAAGGCAGACGCTTAACTGACTGAGCCACCCAGCTGCCCCAATAAACAAAATATTTTTAAAAAATAAAAAATAAAATGCAGATTTCTGGCCCTCAGCCTCAGAAACTCTTAAGTTTAACAGGTCTAGAATTGAGGCCCTAAAACTTGTATTTAAAAAAATTTCCCAGGTGGTTGCTACACAGGTACCCTGTGAACTGCATGGTATTCTTTGAGAAGCATTGCCCTGGTCTCTAACAAACTCTTTTCCCTTTAATATTGAACTTGAGGGGGCACCTGGGTGGCTCTGTCGGTTGAGTCTTGAGTGTCTGCCTTTGGCTCGGGTCATGGTCTTGGGGTCCTGAGAAGGAGCCCCACATTGGGCACCCTGCTCAGCGGAGAGTCTGCTTCTCCCTCTCCTGCCTGCTCATGCTCTCTGTAGCTATTTCTGTCTCTCTCATTCAAATAAATAAATAAGTAAAATCTTTAAAAAAGAAAAAAAGATTGAACTTGAGGTTGCTTTTAAGCTAGATTCACCCAGAAAGAATATTGGGGGTCAAGAGAATCACACTATGTGGCCCCTGGCCCAGGGCCTGCCTTCTTTGTGAGAAAGTTCTGTGTCCTGTCACCACTGGACGGGAGGTGGCAGGGAGGGGAGGCCTACGAAGCGGGGAGCAGTAGCAGACCCCCACTGGCTCTTGCTGTCTCTTTCACTACAGGAAGGATGAAAGGGATAGGAGCTCAGAGCTGGCCGGTGCCCAGAGCCCACACAGAACAGAGAACTATCCCCTGCCCTCCATCAGCCCCTCATGAGCAGTGGAAAGGGTCCAGCAATCCAGGGGTCCTTGTCCTGGGCTCCTCTCTGAGCAGTGGCTGCCCAGAGGTCCCTCAGCCCATTTCTCAAGGCCCACTGTGGGCCCTCTTCCTCTGGGAAGCCTTCCTCGACCGCCCCAACCTTCTGGAATGGCTTGTTCCCCTGTCTCACATTCTTACTATCACTGCCACTGGCGGGGTACATCGTCTGGGGTCCTGATTTGTATAATGGTTTGTGTGTGTTTTCTTGTCTCTTCCATGGGACTGTTCCTCCCTGAGGCAGGCGCCGTGTCCACTCCCCTCCCCCACCCCCCACACTCAGCCTCAGGCAGGACATAGAGCAGGCTCATGCTCCTTCTCTATGGGGTGACCAACTGGGGAAGGTGGGGGGTGTAACTCTTTCTTTGGCTGAGGAAACTAGCTTGCAGGCTTTGTTTCCAGCCCCTGCAGAGTCCCAGAGAAGACAGCACCAAAGGGAGAGGCCCCAGCGGAGGCATGGGAGGCCTGAACGTTTCACGGCTGGAAGAGAAGGTACAGAGGGCAGGCTGGGAAGGCTGGGTAGCAGCTACCCCTGGCTTCTCCTCCTCATGGGGACACGTGCGCCCTCAAGCACATGTGCCCCTCAGTGGAGGTGGTGGGGAGCAGGAGGGGGTTATTATGGGACAGTCCACGCAGATAATGTTCAAGGCCCCGCTGTTGCCATCCTGGGGAGAGTTATGGCCACCGTAAGCGGGGAGGAGTTGGGGTGGGGAGAAGGCAGATTCGAGCATCAGCTGCTGCTGATGTCAGAGCTGCCACTGACTCAGGGAGGGGTGCTGGTGACCTCCCCCAAGGCCAAGGCCCTCGTCTTCCCTTCTTCATCCTTTCCAGGACCAATGAGCAGTTAACTCTCACCGTCCCTCTGAACAGTAAGGTGGGGAGACAGGTTTGGAACTTCCTCTGGCTCTGGATGTCATTTGTATCTGGCTTTGCTTTTTGAGGAGGACAGAGGCCCCAAGGGAGTAGACTGTGTGGCCAAGGCAGGCCAGGGAGAAAGACACCAGAGGTGGGGCTCAGACGATGCAGAGTGGTGGGTGGGGGTGGGCTGGGGGGAGAGGCTGGGTTTAGGAGCCCTCCTTCCTTCAACACCCCCTTGTTGAGTGTCCACTGTGTGGCTCTGCCCTTGAGAGGGAAAATGAACCATGTGGCCGAGGAGGAGAGCAGGGGAGCCCAGGAGGAGGTTGGAAGTACAGAGGGCGTCACCACACAGTGGGAGGGCAGAGTGGGAGGGAAGACTTCTAGGAGGAAAGGACGTTTGAGCAGAGCATGGAAAGTGCAGTTAGGAGCAGCTGGGTTTGAGATCGAGGATGGGGTGTGTGTTCCGGGAAGAGCATCTGGCCAGCAGCCCAGAGAAAGGATCCGAGGGTTGCTCCATAGTAGGTTGTAAGGAGTGGTGGGAGGTGGAGTATGGGGGTGGGGGGCATGGGAAGATTCCCCTGCAGTGCTGGGCTGAGCTGTCTGGGTCCCTGGCTCAGAGGAGGTGTGCGGCAGGGGTGGGGGGTGCGTCGCCACCGGAGAGGCTGGGCTGGCCGTGTGGGGAGGCTGGGGAGTGGAGGACAGGGGTGTTACACTGCAGCGGGCTCCCAGGTCCCCCATCTGTCTCTTGCTTCGCGATTCCCAGCCACTCACTGCTTCCATTTGAACTTCCTGATCTGCGAAACGGGGGTATATTGTCCTTTTCTTTTCCTTTGTGTGACCCTCTCAGGGTGGTGAGAAGGCTGCCATCAGGTGACAATACACCAGGAGCCCACAAGAGAAAGTCCAGACTTCTTAGCCCAATCTCTGGGTCCTCCGGTGTTTCCCACCCTGGCTGTCTTCTCTGGGACCTGTGGGCTGTCTGCCCCGTGCACACCCTCTTCTAGTGCAGGTAACTCACAGCATCACCTGCCCTCAAGCCTTCCCCTTGGGCCCCACCTTGCTCTGCTCTTTAACTAGAATTCGGTAATTTTTCCTGTGGACCCCTTGATAAAAGTGTATCACAGTATCAGTAAGACCACTGTCCCTCCCGCCCCTCCCTCCCACACACCCCTTTTTAAAAAGACTACTATTTTAGGGCAGCTTTAGGTTCTCAGCAAAATTGGGAGAAAGATACAGAGGTTTTGTTTTTAAGATTTTCTTAAATTTAATTATTTGAGAGAGAGGGTACAAGCAGGGGGAGAAGCAGAGGGAGAGGAAGAAGCAGGGTCCCTGCAGAGTGGGAAGCCTGACTTGGGGCTTGATCCCAGGACCTCGGGATCACCACCTGAGGTGAAGGCAGATGTCTAACCTACTGAGCCACCCAAGTGCCCTGGGATAGAGGTTTTTTTATATACTCCCTGTCGCCACACGTGCAGGTCCCCCTTTTTTGCATGTCCATAAGCTCCGTAAGGACCTGTAAACTCCATGAGAACTTGGATCCTTTGCAAGTTTTTAAACCCCTAGTGCTCAACACAGTGCTAGATAATTCATAACCGCATCGATGTTTAATAAATGTTCGGAAAGTATAGAGGCTGGTACTTCACACATTCTCAATAAATACTGAATTTCTTCCATCTCTTAAGGGTGGTCAGCCTGGAGGGGAGGGCAAATCCTGGACTGCTTTCCATCCATTTAGGATGGAAAGAACGCAGTGTTTTCCTCCCAAGGCGGCATTGTGAGGAGGCAGCAGAAAGTTAAGACAAGTTTGACTCATCGGACTTGAGGTGATTATGGATTACCTCGCTTTAGAGTACATTTTATGTTGTCAGTATCTTAATTCCATAACCTGAGTTGGTCACCATTATCTCACAAGGCGTCCTTATTTGTACAGTTCCTTGAGGGTATGGAGTCACTCCCAAGAGTCTGGCGCACACTGGGGATTCAGCAGATGATAGTAGCTGACACTGAGCATGCCGCCTGGGCCAGGCACTATTTATTGTAAGCTCTTCACACGTATTAACTCACTTTATCCTTACAACCATCACCCAAGGAGCTGGGACTATTCTTAGGCCAATTTTACAGATGAGGAAATTGAGGCAGTGAGGTAAGCAGCTTGACCAACCTCAGACAGCTATGAAGAAGCCAGGCAATCGGGTCTGTCTCTTGGTTACACAGCTAAACCTTTAAAAATCTCATGTTTCTGGGGGCACCTGGGTGGCTCAGTTGGTCGAGTGTCTGACTCCTGGTTTTGGCTCAGGTCATCATCTCAGGTCACAATCTCAAGGTTGTGAGATCGAGCCCCAATCGGGCTCCATGCTCAGTGGGGAGTCCGCTTGAGAGTCTCTCTCCCTCTGCCCCTCCTGCTCATGCTCCCTCACTCTCTCAAATGGATGAGCAAATCTTTTTTAAGAAGCATTTATTATTGGGCGCCTGGGTGGCTCAGTGGGTTAAAGCCTCTGCCTTCGGCTCAGGTCATGATCCTGGGATTGAGCCCGGCATCAGGCTCTCTGCTGGGCGGGAAGCCTGCTTCCTCCCCTCTCTCTCTGCCTGCCTCTCTGCCTACTTGTGATCTGTCAAATAAATAAAAATCTTTAAAAATAAATAAATAAAATCTTTTTTAAAAAAGAAGCATTTATTATTA